TGCCAATCTTTAGCCATTCCTGTCAGATCCCAGACACATGGACACCTTGCCTCCCAAAAGGTGGATTAGGGTTGCTTTACACCCTGAATGCTGACAACCTCCAGGTAGTAGAAGGAGATTTCCTGGGATTATAACTGGGCTCCAGGCGACAGAGATCAGTTTACCTGGGGTGATTTCCCACTAGCGCTGCTCCGGGCTCACTCTTCACTTTTGCCTCGATGGTACGGGTCAGTTTCACACAAGCTGCTGCGTGGCCGCATTTTGCCTCGCAGCTTCATGCGATTTTCCCGCGTCTACTCAGTCCTGTTTTTTGAGGATCCTGTTTTTTGAGGATTGAGTAGACGCGGGGAAAATCACACGAAGCTGCGAGGCAAAATGCGGCTGCAGCTTGTGTGAAATTGACACCTATCATCGAGGCAAAAGTGAAAAGTGAGCCCGGAGCAGCGCTAGTGGGAAATCACCCCTGGAGAAAATGGCTGCTTTGAAAGGTGGATTCTATGGCATTATACCCCATTGGAGTCTTTTCTCCTCCCTAACCCCGCCCTCCTCAGGCTCCACCCCCTGAATCTCCAGGTATGTCCTCACCCAGAGCCAGCAACCCTAACTCCAGGCCATCACATTCACACCGGCTCAGCCAATCTGTGTTAGGCGACCCAGTTCCTAAAGTGCAAAACACTGAAAGGAAATGGGCTATCACAGAGATAAAGCCTAAATGTTTGGTTTTAAATGTTTAAAATATGAGAGATGTTATTAGGGAGATATCGAACCTTTCTTCATGATTATTCAAAAATGTACTCCAAAGGCATCATATATGTTCCTGCTATGCTGTTTTCCTTGATATAAAAGGAAGAAAAACAGCTATTCATCCCACACATATTTTTTTTAAATGTCTATCGTGCACAGCCTTTAAAGAACTTTTAAAAAATGATTAAATATGGCTGCAAACTGCTCCTCTGCCAAAATTGCATGACACAGTGATCTTCAATATTTCCAGGGCTGGGACTAGGGTTGCCAAGTCGCGGCGGGGGATCGTAGGTCTTCACAGAATCCTTGCCGCGGGGACAGCAAGCAGAGGCCCCCCGCCACAATTTGGCGAGATTTGGCAGGCCTTGCTGGGACCCATGTTTAACCCCCAGGCTGCAGAAAGGGACCCGCTAAGCTGCAACTGCTTGACATCACACCACTAGGCTGCGCTTGACAGGAAGTGGAAGAGTCAGGGTTATTATGACCTCGCTTGTGTCAAGGCCAGAGCTGTGAGCGATAGACAGAGGCTGTGGTCACACACTAGGGCTGCCAAGCCACGTCTTCACAGGATCCCTGCCGCGGGGGACAGTGATATGCGTTGCACCGCTGTCGCCAGGATGTGACGCTACGCGTCGCTCTGGCAACGGGACATTGCCAGAGTGACGCGTAGCATCACATCCTGGCGACAGTGGTGCAACGCGTATCACTATCCCCCACAGCAGGGATCCTGTGAAGACGTGCAGATCCCCCGCCGCGGCTTTGCAGCCCTATCACACACTCAAAATAATCCACTTTGGTTCACACAGTAAAATCCAGTTGGAAAGTGCACTGAAAGTGGATTGAGACAGCCGAGGGAAGAAATGCAAGCCAAGCTCCAGGAGGTGGGCTACAATGAGAAACAAGCTAAGGTTTGGTGTCTCTTCAGTGCAGAGAGACCTTACCCTGCTCCTCTCAGCAAGCTTTCAAACAATGGCACGAAGCATAGCACTATGGCTGCCTGTGTATGTAGCAGAAAAATGGCAGCTCACTTGCGGGTTCCGGCCCACGGGTTGAAGACCCTGCTCTAGAGAACTCAAACAAATTCACTGTGGGAATCTCAATGGCCATGAATCTGGGGAATATTGGATTTCCCTCTACCGAGTTCAATATCTTTTCTTGCGTCCCGGGGGGAAAGCACAGCAGAGGAGAGGAAGAGGGAAACCAATACAGGTTGTGTACAACCATTGAGGGGAAAAAAGCAAGAAAAACTGGTGGCAAAAAAACAACAACACCTCAGATCTGGCATCTGTGAATGTTGGTTTTTGAGGACAAATTTAGGAATAGCACTTGATTTTTCAAGTTATTACATAATTGTAGCACTTACTAATTACTAATGAGCACTTGAATCACTTGTGCAAATAATTTACAGTAGTATCTACCACAGATTAATGTCAAAGACTTTCCCTGCAAGACACCTGATATATGATTTTAATCTTGGGGCTGAACCCTACTGGCATAAATACTTGTTCAACACAGAAGGCTGCAAGGATGATTCACACATGGACTGTAAGGACCATGGCCAGGTCTTTGAGACCTACAATCCTACTACTTGAATTTATGGAACAGAAACAGATTTGATGATTCAAGGCACAAGGTGCTTAGAAAACTGAAATGAAAGGGCCTTGCTCAAAGAATCATTTAAAACAGCACATTCTTAGGTTGAGCTTGTCACATTGTAACAACCCCAAATTATGGTTGGATCCCATTCCAACAGACATTCAGCTAACAGTGGAGTTTTCCAGCAACATTTTTTGTGCACTTTGACTAACCCCCATTGGCATTATTTTTTGGGGAAGGCCCACGCTCCCTTTCTTGTACAGCACTGGCAGGCAATGAACACCCAGTGTGGCATTTCAAGAAAGATGTCCCTATTCCATTATGGAGATCATTGTGCCCACAGGCAGGCTTCCATATGTCTGTCAGTGGATCAGGTTAGTGTTCATTCTATCCTATTTCATTGATCAATACTCAAGAACCAATTAGTTGGTAGCCTGAGAGGTGATGAGTGCTGATAGGTTGAAGGGGTCTTGGCCAGAAAGTATAAATCCAGATACAGCCTAGTTAAAGAAAGACAGCTGAAGAAACTGAGATTAAAATATTCCATATTTCACAAGGTGGCCTTCAGAAACTTAGAAAGCCCCCATTTTTCACAACGGCTGATAACACAGCAGAGAATCCCCAGTGCTTGGCAATGTGGAAAAGAGGGCTTCTTTGCAGCTGCTTGTCACTTTCAGAAAAAGTCTGGACAATTTCAACAGTGGGTTTCCCCCCTTTGCCTACATTCCTTTCTGTTCCCTGTCATTCAAGGAACTAACCCTTAAATGCCTGCGCAAAACCTGAACACAAGGATTTAAACGGAAGGTGCTTGCTGGGCACTACTGAGCAACAGATATAGGGCAATTGCACACATTTTTTTCAAAGCTTTGGACGCCACCCCCCGCATGTCACAAGTGACATTCCCACCGTGATTTAGAAAAGTGCATTTAAAAAAAATTGTAGCTGCAGAATAAATACAACAGAGGAAGAAGAAGGGTGCATAAGGTGGGCACAGAATCCGAACTCAAGCTTAAAGGCTTACTGCTTGAAAAATCTGCAGTAACGTCTGTGCATAATGGGCCACTAACACCACCATGTCCCAGGGAGTATACCTATCCAACTACGGTCTTGGTGAAAGTCCCTAGAACACTAACCATTGCGTATTACTTCCACTCTGGGCCAGAATTATGAGGGAAAGGTTCTACAACAAAAAAACAGGAAGCAAGACTTCAACTAATACCACAAGGCTTTCAGTCTGTGTAGGAAATAGGTTGTTAGTATCCCAGGGAGATTGATCAGAGCTTGCAGCTGCTTCTGATATGGCTGGAAACACAAAATCCATGCACCATTTTTTGGTAGGGTTCTGCTTTCCACTCTGACAGCTTCTATTAGGTACCGTGCTCCC